TTATATTGTAATCACATCTGATCATTTGTGTTAGTTCAAAATGCAAATTAATGCTACTTAGGCCAGAACCATTTCCAAGGGTTGCTTCTGTTTGTGCTTTGCTGTCCTTTAATACTTCAGATGAATACAGCTCTCTGTGTCTTCATAAGTGTTTATTGCTGATCAGTGAGATAAAAAGAAGAAAAGATCCTATCAGAGAATAGCAACCCTTGTGAAGGATGGTAGGACTGAAAAATGAGTGACTACTTCACTTTATATTCATAAAGTTAAATATTGGTGCCAGAAGTTAAATATTGGTATTTCTGTGTTTGAAAGAAGCAGTAATGGTACTGAAATACTGCAAAGCAAAGCTTGCTGGTGCCAGCACCCTGAATTAAGTTGCAAGTTAGTGTGTGGAATATAAAGTTTCTACAGGCAAAAGCCAGGGTGAGCAGGAGCCCCCCACAGCCCTGCAGTAAAACACAAGTCCTGCTTTAAGCCCTTCGAGGCTTTGCAGTTATTCTGGGTTTATCTAGATGCTGTGTCTAGCTGCAAACACAGCAGCTGAAACTGAATATAAACCTGGGGAATAGTCCTTGGAGCATCAGTGTATTTGGGACCTCAACAAATTTGGAGGATGTCCCTCTTTCCTCTCTGCAGGCAGAAGTTGCCCTTTATGAAGGAAGTAGAAGACACAGGATAATTGCCTGCTTGAGACAAGGAAGTTTGGGGAAGAAAGTCTAATCCTTTGATTCTAATCTGTTTTGGAGGGCAGCAAAACATGCTTTTATCCATCTGGTTGTCTGATAGGGACTCCTTGCTCAAAATCCAACTTTTCCTCTCAGAAAACCAAAACTTTAAACAAGCTTTTGACCTCAAACCACATGAAAGCCAGGGTACAAAAAAATTAAATTTAAAAAATAAGTGTATAAACAGGCAAAGGATGCTGTGCATTTTGAATGGAATGAGCACAAGGTTCTCGTGAACAGCTGGGAGATTTCCTAGTGCCATGATGGACAGAGTGCACTGAAAAGGCAAACCTGGCTCTTTGGTTATTTCTTTAGGGGGTTTTTGACTCCTCTTTCAAGGTCACAGGGCTGCAGCTTTGCAGTCAGTGGGGAACTGCTAGTGAGGGAGAAAACAGAAAAGGCAGTTTACCTGCTTTTTGCTTAGTGCTTAAGCTTAATGACAGGCATTTTAATGTTTAATTGTATTGGTTTTTTATTTCTTTGTATAAGGATGAGTAGGTTTACAGGAGATAACACAACATTTAAGATGGTTTGTTGAAATGTGAATACTTACACAAGAAGGATAGTGCAGGAATACAGGCAGCCATGTAACACACAGCCAGTGTTGCTCAAGCTTCTTAAGGAAACTGAGGTACCCAAATCCATGATCTGATGTTCTTGATTCTAGTTCTCTAGCAGGATTCCTGCTGCCCAGAAACACTGCTAGGAGAGCTTTGTGTGCTAAACCACACTAAGCCTGTGGTTTGTCTGCTGCCTTCTTGAAGCTACAGGCCAGAAGTTTTCTTTTTCTAGACTCTCATATTTCATTGCTCAAATGTTAGAGTTGTTGTTAAAACTTGGTTTATTAAAGGTTCACATAATTGAATGGCTTTGAAGTACAGCTACAGCATGAATAATTATATCCTGTGCAATTACAGAAGTCAGGAATTTAAGATTAAATAGCCATTTCAAAAAATGTTTAACTATACTATAATTTCCTCTGTAAATTAATAAAATGGAGAGGATTTTGTTTCAGAAACTCTCTGACCTTACAGCAGTATCTTGAATAAGAAGCTTGGAATCCAAAAGAGAAATCAAATGCTTGTTTTTATCACTTAGTAGATCTCATGGCTGTGCTCCTTCTGTTGCAGAACCATTGTGGCACTGGTGTACAACGTGCTGAAAACCCTGATGGAGATGAATGGCAAGCTCTTTGATGAGCTCACGAGCTCGTACAAAGCAGAAAGGCAAAGGTACTGAGCCTTTCCCACTCCCAGTGGTGGACGTGTCCAGGCTGTCACTGTGGCTGTTGCTTTGCTCTGTGGTGGAGCTGTTTGCTGCGGGGTGTCCCGTGAGTGAGGCAGTGCCCTGGGGGAGCTGAGCCCAGGCAGGGACAGGAGGGCCCCAGCTCCCCTCCAGCTCTGTTCCTCCCTCACAAAGATGCTCAGTCCCTTAATTTGCATGCATGTGATAAAAAACCTTCTTAAAGCAGCAGCCAGCTGTGCAAAGCCACCCTACAGCAATTGTCTGCATTTGCTGGAGCAAAGGTACAGTTTCACCACTCATCATTACTTATTTGCTATCCTCTCTTTTTAACTGAGGAAACTGTAATTGCCTCTAAAAATGGCTTTGGAGAAAAACTTAACTGTGACTTGCATCTACTAATACTTTAAAGTCACTGTGTCTCCAGATTGTGCTTAAAACACATCTGAAATTGATCTTTGACTCTTTTCTTCAGAGAGAAAAAGAAGGAATTGGAACGTGAAGAGTTGTGGAGAAGGCTGGAGGAGTTAAAGCTTAAGAAGGCGATGGCAGAAAAGCAGAACAGCACTCACACCGTGCTCAATGCACACAACACAAGTGCCAAATAAAAGAAATTACCACCTCTACTCGGCAGACATTCTTTTTTTGTACCCTTTTGAAATATACAAGGATTTGCAAAAGAAACCTCATCAGTATAATGGAAACAGCCAACTTTTTTCTCTGGCAAATGTAAAGATTTGAGTTTAAATACAGCAATTAAGTGATGTCATTACCACAACATATTGTAAATTTGTCTAATTATTGATATACTGTCACTTCCAATGTTTCATAGAACTGAGTTTTCATCCTTAATGAGTGAAATAATTACGGGAGTGGTGAGAATTATGACTTGAATTTTTGATTGTGTTGCACATAGGTGGTATAGTTTGCTACGTACACATTTTTCCTTGTTTTATATGTGCTTTTCACATTGCTGCATACTTTGGTTAAGATGATAGAAAAGGCTTCTAGTTGTGCTGTATTTTCTCAAATAAAACCAAGGTACGTTCCCAGTAACCTGAGATACTCAGTACATGCCCCTGACAGCTTTGAGAGGAACTCTGATACAGAGCTGTCCTTGAATTCCTGATTGGATTCAGAGTTAGATTTACACAATGCTCACGTCAGAAAGGAGGCAAGGCAGGGAGAGAATCAGCTGCAACAGGTTGGGGTGGCCAGGGCCTCTGCCCCATTCCTGCTGCCTCTGGGGTCCTGGGCTAGTTAGGGATTTCCTCCTGCTACAGCTGAGGATGGAGCTTCTTCTGGAGACCCTATCAATGATGCTCCTCATCAGCCAAGGACCCTCCAGAGAGCTGCAGTCTCCAAAAGAGATTCATCTTGGGTGTTTCTGCAGTAGGATTAGCATCTCATGGACTGAAGAATGAGACCAAAATTGGCATTACTATATATATTTTTTTTTTAGTAAGGAGGGAAGAATGTCAAGAAATTACTCCTTGTTTTCTTTAAAGAAAATGCAGTGTTTTTTAAAGGTGGAAAGTTGACAATAGAAGTCTTGTCTGTTTACTTGATCAAGTATTTTTTCACATCTTTTATCAGAGTACCATTCCAATCTCTTAAATTGCAGTTGTGTGGAAAAATTTTGTAATGAAAGATCTTTGGGCAATTGAGCAGCATTCAATAAAGTCTTTATGTTTGTATTTAGTGCTGTACCTCACATCTTTAATTTTCTGAAGACCAGGAGAATTAGAATGGCTGTTATAAACAACTTTTTAACAGTCCAATGTGGCTTTTCACTGGGGCAGGGCCGCAGGCGGTGAGGGTCGGGGCTCCATGTTTGAGGGGCGGGGCTCCATGTTTGAGGGGCAGGGCTCCAGGCAGTGAAGGGCAGGGCTCCATGTGTGAGGGGCAGGGCTCCAGGCAGTGAAGGGCAGGGCTCCATGTGTGAGGGGCAGGTCTCCATGTGTGAGGGGCCTGCTGTGGGACTTCCATGTGTGAAGTCCCTGCTCCACTCTTTGACCCAGCTGTATTGCACTTGTTGCTTCATTTTTGTGTCTAAGCAGTTGTTGCACAGAGGGCATGGGACTGGACGGTCACACCAGCACAGCTCATCTTGGTTTTGTGTTTCAGTGCCTTTTTGCCTTTAGGAAAATAAAGTTCCCAGTGCGTGACAAACTTTGTTCAGCTGTCCCAGAGCCTAAATGAAAATAACTTACACTAATGTTGCCGAACCAAACACCTTGCAGGGGTTTAAGGAATGAATCACTGCCATTTGTAATTGCGACAAGTTTTTTCGCAAAGTTACAAATAGGGACATCAGGTTTAAGTAATAGAAAAAAACAACAGAGGAGCTGCAAGATAGCCTTCCAAATTGTGCAACACTTGCTGTCAGGATTGCTCCTATAAATAGGTATGTAAAAGAAAGGTTTCTTGGCTGGCATCACTGGTCTGCTCTTGTAACATTTCCTTATAAAACAAAACATCTTGACAGCTGAGATGTGACTGAAGTGGACTGCTGTGGGAGTTTATTGAGGGGAAAAAATAGTGCATACTGCAAAAAGGAGTTTATCCTTTATTTAACTATGCTGTCTGCTCACCCCACAGCTGCAGCTACACTGTCTTCCAGCTTACCTTCTCTGACCTCATTAGCAAAAAAAGAAGAAAAAACGCAGTAGGATCCATCAAAAGTGGTTCCAATTGTTTCTAATTTCTTGTTGTCTGTTTTTTGTAAAATCTAAGAATAGAAAATTGTATTTTTTGGAAAATCCAGGAAATATAACTTGTTCAAGGAACAGCTGGGTGTTCCTTTGGCAGGGAGGCATCAAGAAAGCTCAGCTGCCATAGCATAGGCTGTTAGGTAGTAAAGTCTGGGGGTTTTCTTGATGTGGAAGGGTTAAGTGTGGGGGATTCTGGTTTCTGTCCTGTTGCCCATCACTCAGGGATGGAGTAGCTCTTTTTGCTTCAGCCATGCAGTGTTTGGCCTTTGCTGGTCTTGTCCAGTTTAATCTCATTCCTTGCTGTGCACTACTGCACAGGAGCCATCCTTGTGAGATGCTGAAGGTGGGGACTGGATACCACCTTTCTCCCATAGAAACATCTTTGTCCCCTGAGTAAACATTCTCCCCCAAACAGCCAGTGCTGCTATTTTATTTATCTTACTGCAATGAGTTGTTGCTCCCCTGTTTAAGGCTGGCTGGTCAATGCAGTGCCTTAATTTGCTCTGGAAGCCAGCTGAAAGTAGGAAATTTTGTCCCAAAAGGCTTCCTCAGATGCCAAAAGCAAGGAAGGAAGGTTAGGGGGTGACTGGACACACTCACTCCTCTAAGTACTCTGCTGGAAGAGGAAGGAAGAAGCAAATTCTGAGTTGGCATCCTTGCAGCAAAGGCTTCAGAGCAAACACACCGTGGTGCCCTGCTCCCTGCAGACTCCACACGTCCCAGTCAGGCATCCCAGCTAACAAGGGACTTATAAGGAAGAAAAAGACACCAGCACCCCAGCACAGTTGGTGAGCAGGCATTCCCCACAGAACAGAGAATCACAGTAACATGCCTGCTGAGGAAAGACTGTTTTTCACTTCCTGAAAGACTGATAGAGAAGGAGGGATAAACAACAGCCTGAGACAGACTTTGAGATTAGCCACCAACTCAGCCCCCCACATTGTCCTGGTGCTTGAGTTTCCTTTGAGCTGGACTGATCTGTGGTTTTCACCTTTTCCTCAGGCCACAGCACTCTTGCCTCCTGTGAAGCTCCTTCCCAACCTGAGAGCAGGTAGTTTCAAAGAAGGCACACAATAGATTACTTGAAGTATTTTTTAATATTAAAGTCATTGTACTTTGATTTAAAGATGACATGTAATGGAATTCCAGTGTATTTTGTTTTAAAGTACACTTTGGAGAAGAGAGGCCAGGATGTTTGCAGAGCACTTTGCCTTCCACTAAGCACCATCAGGGCAGTGACTGTGCTACGGGAGCAGCTCACAGCTGATGCAGAAACTAAAGGGTCTGCTGGAGAAACATTCTAACACTGTCCACTTTTCACAATTTACTACAGGGATGGCTTTCTGAACACAACTGAGTTCCCTCCTTTCCCCCTGGCTCCCCCATACACGCAGGTAAACTTGTTAAACTTGGACTAGAAAAGCACGAGTTTGTTAGACCTGTCCTAGAGTTAGCGCCTCTGCAGTTCCAGGGCCGGGTCACGAGGCTGTTCCTCCAGCCAGCATCTCTCTGGAATAAAACATACCTGGTTTTCAGCTTGAATTGCTGATTGCAGCTCATTCCAGTTACTTTCTGTCCCTCCTGCTATGAACAGTTTAAATTCAGTCTGAGGCTCAGCTTATGTGGTTCGTGACTTGCCGAGTCCTCTTCAGGTGCCTTCTTCGGATCTTGATCATCCACTTAACACTTAACTTAGCAAAGTCTGCTGCCTTAAACAGGGCCAGAAAGATACCACAGAGGAGAGCAATCATGTTCCAGGGGTTTGCTGTGATAATCTGAAAGAGAAGACAAATATTAGTCCCGTCATCTGATTCCACACAGGTAGAGAGGAGTGAGGGCTGTGGGAATAGGACTGGGCTCTGAAGGCCAAGGAGGGGCCTGGGTCCTGCTGGGACAGCAGGAGTGCAAAGGACCAGCTCCTGTCCCACACAGGAGTTCACACTGGTTTTGGGCAAGAAAACAATTCACACTCTGGTTTTGGGCAAGAAAACACCAACATTCAAGATTTTGCTGCTGCTGGACCTTGGTTGTCAGGTAAATACAGTACCACATTTTATTCTAATGAATTTATTCTAATAATGGATAAAAAATACACCAGGCTATTTCTATTATTCTTATTTCAGCCCAGGTTTCTTGTCAATTAATTAAAAAAAGTCATTAAATCAGATTATGCAGCAGACTTACTAAAGCAAGAAGTTCAGCTCTGCCCTGAAGCTACCCTTTGCTAGAACACAGGTGATTTTCTTAGCCACATGGCACCCCTAGCTGCAAGCAGGATGCTGAGTGTCACCAGCCCAAGGAACAGCATCACATGGCCCTGACCTCCACACAGAATGCACTACTGGACATAAGGAAGAGCCTACACTGGAATTTCAGAAGTATCCTCACTCTTGTCTGCATTTATTCTTGGGGTGAGGTAACGGAGGAGGTGCATGCACACACAGGGCACGAGCTGCACAGTCAGACAGTGACTCAGGAGGGGACTGGAGGGTTACTCACGTCCTGAACAGTCTGTATGAAAGGGTCTTTCCACTCAAACACCACAAAGAACAGCTGGTCACTCCCTGGTTTAGTTCTCTGGTCAATGTAGTTAACCACACTGGTCTGGGGACAGGGAAAGAAAAGTGCAGGTTACTCTCCAGCAGTACAATGAGTCTTTTGTGCAACAAAAAAGGCCTGTAAGCAGGTGAAAATACCAGACTATTTAGAGACTTCCACTGCAGCCTTTCTCTACCTAGAGCAAAATATGGCAAGGGCAGTTTCTTCCCTCTGTCTCACATTGATATTATTTTCCTATTCTCACTCAGGATCACACTACAACCATTTCTACATTGCCTCTCAAGAGGAGACAATATACTTCCAAAATTCATTCATGAGAACTTTCCAAATGCTGTATTACCGCAAGTAAATGAATGTTAAATTTGCTTTATTTTCCAGAGAACCACATAATGGTGTCAGGAAGAGTCCTTCTATTTGAAAAACGGGTTGTAGAATAAACTAGAACATTCCAGCAAGTGCAGAATGAACATGGAAAGAAGGCCAGGTGTTAACAACCAAACCCACACTTCCCAGTAGTGCCCATTAACTAGGTCACCACTTGAAACTAATGCTGCCCAGCAGAGCTGTAACACAATTCCAACAGGGAACTGGGTTAGCATACCAGACAATGTTACAGCCACATGAAGCCAGGGTCTCAAGAACCACAACCAGGAAAATATTAAGACATCAGGCCCAGGAAAACCCTTGTGTTGTACCAGCTGCCCTCAGCCTAGGGGGGAACCACACAGGGTTTGTACACAGGCAGGAACCACCACAACCAGTGTGAACTGCCCCCTGCTCCTAGGACACAACACAAACTGCCCAGGAGCCACACAGGGACCTCAGGAAAGCACAGTGGGGAAAGACTTCTCCCTTCTCCAAGCCCCAAAGGAGTGTTTACATCTGTAAACAGCGGTGGAAGGACTTCTCCCTTCTCCAACCTCAAAGGAGTGTTTACCTCTTGCTGTGTGCAGAGGGGAGTACTGCTGCTCATCCTGTTAATTCTGTACTGCAAGCAATGGGTCCAGCAGCACTGTGACTTTGCATCAGGCTTGTGACACAAAGATGAGAGAGATGACGGAAGAGCATGCCTGTTCCATGTTTTGGGAGCCCAGTTTCCCAGGCAGAGTTGGAAGTCTCTAAGGAGACCACAATCTTCATCTCCTTACAAGGCTTCCCATGGCATGAGGGATGAGCTGCCACAAAAGCCTCAGATCCACCATGGTGCAGTGTCTCTACAAATACCTCAGGGTTTCTCTCAGTCTTCTCCACAGCCCCAGCCCTGAACAGATTTTAGGCTGCAGGCAAGAAGCAGCAGGAGCTAGAACACTCTTCATGGCCACTCAGAGCATATGGGGCTTCCCCAGCCTGTGGTTTCTGGTCAAACACCTTTGCTGCAGACTTGCCTGTGAGGATTTGTGAGGAGTTGTGAATGAGTCAGAGACAGAATCTCTGAGCTGCTTTAGATGGTGCCATTTATTTTCCTTATCTTCTACACAGGCAGGAAGGGTGAGTTCACCTCACATCTTTACCCCATGGTTCATCAGAAGGTCACAACACCTCCAGTTACAAGACCTTTTATTAACCAATAAAACACTGCCAAGAAGGATATTTATGTTTTTCACCTCATCCTTAAATATTTCATCTAATGGACTCATACTGCAGTGTAAGCTTTCTTAGCCAATCATGTTCTGACACACAAACCTACAGTACTGGACCCTAAAACTCTGAACCTTCCTCTACTTAGCTTAATGGGTCTCTGCTCTAAACTATAAATCCACATTCTTGCTTCTAGCACCTAAGTTTGGAAGCCTTTCCCAAGGCCTCAGATCAAATCCAGTGTTTAATTCTAAGCTTTGGCTTACAGGCCCAAAATTTTGAGAGTTCCCTGCGTTTTGGATTCCAACACTTGCCCCACACTTCCACAGCTGATTCCTTATTGGGTGCCAGTGTTCCAGCCACACTCATCCAAGGAAACTGCACACCAGGAAATGAACAGTACCCAAGGCAAAACCGAGGCAATGGGAAAGGAGGAAAATCCAAATGAACGACTGCTGGGCTAGTTAGAGTGAGTGACTGCTCTGTTTGACCTGGTGTTTGTATCCATCTTTGCAGTATGCCAGCTCCCAGGTTTGCATCTGAAAGGCTAATGGACTTCCTGGTGCAATTTGAGCAGATGCTGTACTGACAAACAAAGCAAGTGCAAATTATGTCTGAGCTGTTTCAATTTCTGTTGTATTATTAATAGAGATCTGATTCCTGGTTCCTAGGTTTTATTAAAAACAAACAAACAAACCCACAAAACAAACAGAAAACCCAAACCAGCAACAGTGTTCCCTTACTCAGATGATCAGTCTATAACTGCTGAACTAAATAGATGTTTATGGTCACAAAAAACTCTTTATTCCCTGAATTTGAGCCAGCCTTTTGTTTCCACTCTGAGACACATTAGACTTGGGCACACAAAGGAAGACTTTCAGGAAAGCACAGTGGGCAAACTTGGTAAGCACCAAATGGCAAATGATAGAGAGCTGTAGGTGATGAAGGACAGACAGACAGCTGCTGTCAGTGCTTACATGGCAGCAGCAGCAGACTGATGCATTCTTTCCTCTCCTCCAAAGCAAGGTATTGCCTTGGGACTTGCATGACTCTGGGATTTGCCTCCTGTCCTTCTCTAGGGGAGTAGGAGTGTCCTCCCCTCACAGTACCAGCTCTGGGTTCCCTTAAGGCTGTGCCAGGTAACACCTAACTGTGAGAACTAGGGATGGAACTGAACAGTCTGCTTCATTCTGCTCTCCTCAGAACACCTTTCCAAGAGTACCAAGGATCAAGAGAAAGTGTAATCTCTGAAAGAGACACCCTCTGGAAAGGACAGCTCTTAAAATTTTCATTAAATTTTTCATTTTCATTCCTTTCCAACGAACACTGGAAGCAAACAAAGTCAAAACACAATTATTTTCTTGTGCATTAATGTGAACAGAACAGGAATGAAAGGCTCATTTCCTCTCTAGATAAGCTGGCATCTTCCACCTGCATATTTTCTAGTTTTAAATGATGCAAGAAGTGAAGTTACTCCACATTTCTAAAGACACTCAACAGCTAAAAATTCCAAACCCAAACAAAAAACAGACATAAAATGCTACAAAGGATACAAGGCTTACATTTACCTCTTCATCCTAACATCAGTGGCAACCTCAACAATACCACTTTCCAACAGTAGCTGTTATTAGGCAATTCCTTTGGCAATTGTTCTCCACCTTGAACTGTGGGTAGCTGTTTTACTATCATTTAGTAATTAATTAATATGACACTACAGGTGTCATAACCCAAGTGAGGCCTGGATTTTTGGCCTCCCTTGTCAGAAGATGTTTTCCTGAGCTCTGCCATGAGGCCACACCAACAGCTGAGCACATCAAGACATTTACACTTCTACAGATTCCCTCCTTGAGAAACAGTGGGAGCAATGAGAGTCAAAACTGCTCAGTGGAAAATGGCATCATGGATGCAAGGAAACAAAACCAAACTCCCCAAACATAATTTTATTTTTTTTTTTTACCTCCTGTTTGAATTCAACAGTCTCACTACCATCTTCTTCTTTTGTTTTGACCAAGGACATCTTGACCCAAGTTCGGAAGCCTCCAGAAAACTTCCAGCTGGAGTATGAACTTTCACAGTCCTTCATGAATTTTGCTTTTTCTGGACTAAAGGAAAAAGAAAGCATTACTTTATTGACCAAACTGAGCACTGCAGGCAGAAGGTCAGACCTACAGGTACTTCAAACTATGTTCACAATTCCTTTTGTTCTCTGCCTGCTAAATTCAACACATCTAAAACATTGTGTGTAGTGGTGTTTTCATGAATGGCAGCCCTTCACTGGTGCATCCTTAACTGCAGAGGATTTACCTGGTGCCACCAACCCTGGAGCTCTGCCTGCCTGCAGGGATTGTTCTGCCCACAGGGAGTTCAGCTCTGCTCAGCAGCCACCCCTGGGACAGAAAGGGGCAGAGCCAGGACCTCAGGAAACAACTCATCACCAAGTCAGGAAGCAAGAGGCAGCAGGAAGAGCCTAGAGGAAGGACAGGGTGCTTCACCTCATTTCTGGTTGCCAAATAAATCAGTTGCAATGCAGACATGCTGAAAATGCCTCAAAATTGATATTCAGTACAATCCTATTATTTTGGAAGCACTGCAGCTTTGGTGTAAGGCTCCCACCTGCAGTAACTGTTATCCCAACATGCAATCCCAGCTATTTGCAGCCCCCAGAACAGTGGGATTGCTTCCTGTGGTTTGGCTGGGGTTTTGTTTTTTAATACTGTGCCTGTAAACCTTTAGGGCTTCCAACACCCCTCACGCTGCAAGTAGTAAAGGGGCAGCTTTAGGGCATATCTGGTCTCCATCTCTTCTCTACCAGCTGCACAGGACATAGTGAATTAACCATGCCATTTGCTTGGAACTCTTCAGTACTATGATTTTAGCCATTTCCATGTCATCCCTGTGAAATAAGCCCAGCCCTGCAGCTGCTTTTCCAATAAGGTTTCATTTGAGAAGAAGGGGTAAACCACTGTGAGAAGTCAGGGACCATTAAAGGCTATTTTTACTAAGGCAGATTTCAGGTTGTAGAGATATGCCAGGGTATGCTGGTCCTTAAAAGAAGGGAGAGGGTTTTGATGCAGACTAAATCCATCTACCTAGGAGAAGGGAAAGTGTTCTCTGCTTTTGAGGTAGAGGGTGTGCATAACCAGGTCTTTTAGGAGATGAAGGTGTTTTCATCTTTCAGGAGAAAAATGCAAAGAAGTAAAGGAGAAAAGTACAAGCTCTAGTCCCAGAACAGGCCAATCAGAAAGGTTTGTCCAGCACTGACTGGATTTGCACTTTCCTGTCTTTTTTTCTTAGTTTTCAAACTCAGGGCTTCTTTTCTTTCTACAAACCAAGGTGCCTTGTCTACAAGGACCAAAGGAACTGAACTGATATAAATATCAAATTGATGGCTACTCTGTACCACAGCACCTGCTCAGGCTTAACAGATGAATGGGAGGGCAAAACCCAGCAAAGCCATTCTCTCAAGTCAGGGCTTCAGGCCATGGACTCAGACACAGAATTCCACTGTGCACATGCACAGAAAACAGAAGGGTTATTGGAAATAAAAACTAACACACTTTGCTACCTATCAAGGCAGATGCTGTTCCCAGGGTGTCCTAGGAAGTTAGGAGCATCTTTATTTTGACATGAGGTGCTTGTTTAGTGGCCCCAACAGGATGGCACCTCTCCACCTCCCACAGGAGAGACGTGGGCAGAGCCTAAGGACAGCCTGCCTGCTCCCCCCCAGAGCAAACCAGTGACCCAGGAACACCTAATCCAACAACTGCCTCCCCTCCTGGGATGTGGGCAGAGCAGCAGCTGAGGGGACAGCCCAGGGCAGCACTGGAGTGCTTTGCCACTCAAGAGGAACACACATAATTAGCATTTTGCCAGGCAGTCATATGCCTAATGGCTGGCTAAATACAGCATCCTGGAAAAGCTTTCCAAGCCAGGATGGAAAAATGAGGCAGGAAGTTATGACACAGAGCTGAACATTACAGCCACAACTTCCATGGCAGGCAGGCAGCAGCAGTGTGCTCTGCCTTTGACAGTAATTGCAGGCTGGAAAAAGAAGGATTAATAATATCCTAGGAGAAGCTGTGGAGAAGTGATCTGAGAGGCATCTCCCTAATCGAGACCACTGCCACAGAGTGAGGGGAAAAAAGGGGGGTGGACAGGAGGAGCACAGCACAGAGGAACAAGCTTTGCACATATTATAGCAGAGGGCAAATTACACAGCTTTAAAACCACACACAGCCAAGTGAACACAAGACAGGAAAGGGATTTTAAGCTGTAAAACAGTTCTCCAGGCAGTTTCTTTTAATTCCCTCTTCACACCAAAGACAGACAACCCACACAGGCCACACCTCTTTTTTGTTGCTGTTTGGGATTTTTTCCCTTTTTTTCTTTCTCTTTTTTCTTTTTCTTTTTTTTATCTGAGGGAGTCACTAACCTATTTCTGGCCTGGGCTGTAGCGCTGCAGTGGATCCTTTACCACCAGTGTCTATGGACCACCCAAGAGAGCCAGAGAAGTTCAGGACATGCCACCGGCAGATTCCAATGCAACAGCAAGAGCCAAACCCACTGGTGGTTCAGGTCCAGTCTGTGTTTATTGCTTTTGTGTTTCCCAGAGCAGGAAACACTCAAACAGCCATGGCATCTAACAAAGGCTGCCGTGGTACTAAAAGTCTCAATCCTTCTATGTTGTATTTCTCTGCATGCAGCGATCCAGATCAGAGACATGAACACTGAGCTCAGTTTGGACCCTGAAATCAACCCTGACCTGTTCACACTGGTATCCATCATTTCAGTTATTTGACATGCTACACTAACAATAGTTTTGTCAGGAATTTATTCAGGATTTTCTTCTAAAGCCCATGTATTATCCTAATAACAGTTCAGGAGAGAAACTTGTATTTCTAGCCACACATTTTGGGTAATTTGCAAGGGTTTCATTATTTCCCTCCCTCCCTCCAATTAATATGGTACAGACAGCAGCTGCCACTACCTTAAAAAAAAAGAAAAAGAAGGCAGCAGCATCTCCCTGCAGCTCAGAGGCCAACAACAGCACACAGAGCAGCAGTGTTCTGTGAGCCCAGAACAAAACCAGTGAGCAGTGCCAGTTTCATGGAGTCTGATCCAATTTTAACAGAAGGGCTGCAGAGAATAAAGCCCTTGACAGAAACAACTGGGCCTTGCTTGAGTCCTCAGCACTTACTGCAGCACAGAAAATCTCTTAAAGGTACAAGTTGCCATTTTTTTCTTGCTTGTGGCACCTCTGGTAACACTGTACATGAACTGCTGGGCACTGTTATTCTGGGCCCTCACAACCAGTGAGACACTTTGTTAGGAGAAGTAGTTAACAGAGGCCAGTAATTGAAGTTTTCAGAGGCTCTATGGAAGGACACACAACAGTTTCTACAGATATTTTAACCCAGACTTCCCATCAGCTAAATTTAGCATCTGCTGATGAACAAGAAATCATTTCTGTTTTCTCTTCTGCTGGAAGCTGGACAGAATGAGTGCTCTGCACACACAGAGTGCAGTTTCACGTGCACTTTTCACAGTCAGGAGAAATGTAAACTCCCAACCTGCCTGAGCCCAGCCAGCTCATGCCAGGACAGCAAACACAGCACTGAGCAAGACAAGCCACACCATTTGTATCAAGTTGGGGAGGATGCTGCAGAAAACCACAGCTGGTTCTTTTCCTGAATTCCATCTAGACATGCAGATCATTTACCACTAAGGCTTCCATCCCCCTGCCAGTGTTACCCTTCACCTGGGTGAGCTCAAAACCAGTTTCAACTCCTGTTCCTAGTGTCTGCCCCAAGCAGGCACAGAGGCTGCATCCCCAGCCAAACATCCCCATTTCCCTGCGCCTGCCAAGGCCTGAGGATGCTCAGACTGAGCTGCTCATCCTGTCCCCAGCCAGCTGCAGCACCAGGGCTAGCCCAGGCAGTGCTGGTGCCTGGCAGCACAGAGAGAGCTGAGCACCTGCTGCAAGTGGTGCCACTGTAAGCATTTCCTACCAGAGCACAAGCCAGAAAACCAGAAATAAACAACATAAGGAACGAGCAGCACCTTCTACGCCACTACCCTTAACTGGTGTCTCTCACCCTAAAATATCAATGCCTAAAACACCCAGAACATTAGCATTTTATGAGGTGTTTCAGTACAGTTACAGACTTAAGAGTGTCTTCCCTGAAGCAGAAATGCTTTGTAAAAGGTGACTCCACCTCACTGCTCTTTGGCCACCCAGAGGTGGCATGCCTGAACACTCCCACTCTTTGATCCATCTGAAAAGCATCGGTATGACCATGTCCAAGCCTCTGAGGAGGCCTCTGAGAACAGATAAAACCTGTTCTCTTCCCTCCCTCACCTAATTTTGCTCTGCATAGGTCCTCTATATCCCCTGTCCCTTTTTCACTGAGCATCTATTATCAAATACAGGTTTTCTATCAGGTGTCACTATGACTAATATTTCTTGACTAACTTTTAATCTGGATCTCAGAGAGAAGAACCAAACTTGAATTCAAATTAAAGCAAAAATTAAACTGTTAAATATGAAATTTATTCTCAAAAGGTGGAAAAAAGAGTGGGTATTTAAGAAAGTTCAAGACAAGATTAATTCCATTCTTGTTAAAATTACAAGGTAAATTAGACACTCCAATGATACCACTGTCAAACCAATATAAAGCAATTTCAAAAACCCCATATATGAATTTACATCATTCTGCAGAATCTTAAATAAAGCCATTAATACAAAGAAACAGAGTGAATCTTTCAATGAAATCACAACAAAGCAATCTAGGGATCTGACCTTTACAGCAATTGCTTTAAAAACCCCCAAATGGTACAGAAATATTTGTGTTCTTGGTGCACTTCCTGACACACTGCCCAGCACAGCACACTTCCTGAGCACCCACAGCAGCAGACAGCAGGAAGCCAGCACAAACTCCAAGGTTTTAGAAAGTGCAGCAACAAATGGTTGAAGCACAGCTGAAGAACAGTTTTTGTCATTGAAAAAGCCCTCAATACATTTTTAAAGGTCAGATTAGTAAACAAAGACATGAAAGAGCATCAACATAGTCCAAACATTTTAAAAAAATCATAAAAGCCTGCCTGGTTTTTACTGAAAAAGCCCTGCTTTCACAAGTACTGTGACACAACAATGCAGCCCCAGGCTCATCCCCCCTTTACATACCTGCTGACAAACTCTTGGAAAGAAGAAAACAGCAGGTAGTCAATGGCACTGAAATCTTGGTCTGTTTCATTTAAATGGAACTGCAAAAACACCAGCTCCCTTTTCTTCACATCACGAGGGCCTTGAACAACCAAAGCATACTTCTGTAAGCAAACAGAGATGGTGAGAGGAGCAAAGGAATCCTCATTTCCTATTCATTAATTTACCACCTGGCACTAATACTCTGTAGAAATCTAACACACACACACACAGAGTTTCCTGGCTGCTACTAAGTACACGTATATTAAAACACCTAACAAGAATGTCACTTCAGTCCCTCCTTTCAGTTTGAAAACAAGGTCTTTACACCAAGATTCAGTGCTTAAATATTAATATGTAAGCATTAAATATGGTAATTTGTGGGTTTTGGACATTTGTTTATCAAGAAGCAAGCTTCCCTGCACTTCTAAGGGCAATTTCAGACAATCACTCCTCAATGAATCCATCTTGCTGGCTCAAAGCATTTCAGTGTAATGAAGCACTTGGTGCCCATTTAAGATTCTTCCAAGTGTGACAAACATGGTATGTAATTCCCAGCAGGAATTCATGTATGAATTCCCAGCAAACATAAAAAAAGAGATTAGCTATCCTCCTTTAATGGATACTGACACTGCCTTCAATCAGAGCTAGGTTTACCATATCAAGGAAAATGCTTCCCAGTTCATTTAGGAGAAGAATGAGGTGAGAGCTTCACTGTGAAAAATGACTTATTTTATCTCATTAAGGGTTTTGTGCTGCACACACCCACAGGACAGCTCATTTTCCATAACACGGATATACACTGACTGGGGTCTTTTACATTTCTGAAAACAAAATGACAGATGGCTTACAAAAATCCAAACCAGAAGCAAGGATTTTTTACAGCACATAGTACATACTTTTACTTTCCAACAAGATTATGAGCAGAAACCCCACACCGAACAAGCTTAGTTCTATCACATTGTTATTACCATAGTTTGATTAGTGAAAGGATCTGTGTAGTTGATCCTCTGAGTGGTGCATTCAATGTCTCCTGGCTGACCTGGATTCACCAGAGGTGGAATGTGATCGTAGTAATGATGCTTGCAGCTGAGCAGCTGAGCCTTGCCTGGGTAAAAGGCAATTCCTGTTTGGGGAGAAAAAACATTGGAGAGCACTGATTTCCTTCCTGAGGACATCAATTTGCATTCTGGAATTTAATCCCACACAATACTGAGCTGTCTTTAAGATGCCACAAAACAATCAAATTAAACCATGCACTTCCACATTTTTCTGGAGCAGGACAAAACCATTAACAGCATCAGGACAGAACCCCCACAATGCATTGAAAAAAATTAGGGCTCATATTCTGTTCAAGGTTCATAACAACTGCAACAGTTCAAGGCTCATAGAAGCTACCAAGTTTCCCACAAGCCAGCAGCTAACCCATCAGTCCCTCTCAATCCCAGATGAATCTGTAAAACATGTCAGGGAGCATCAAATGGGACATGCAGTGCTTTAGTTTTCAGATATTAGAATTTAACACACCACGTGTTAATTGGAAATAATGTACATACCATACATGACAGATCAAAGATCACTGGCTGAGCTAATAGAAGTGAAAGATGCCCTTCAGAATACAATATCTTCTGTTAACTGAATGTGACATCATAAAAAAAAAATCAAAGCCATCAAACATGCACTAAGTGCTGCCATCCCTTATTATTTACAGCACTGGGCAGGGCAGGCAACTACCCCACCTGGATGGAAACCCACATTTGCCATAAACCTCCTGTTCCAGTCCAACAGCACATTCAAGCAGCCTCAGCCACCTCAGCTTTGGAAGGCTAGCAAAACACAAGAGCCAAACCTCAAAATCCTTTTACACCACCTACACCATATTTATTATTGCAAACAAGTCTGCTGGAAGATAATCTAGTCCAACTTAAAAAAAAATAGTATAATTGATTAGATATAATTAACTCACAACTGAGATGACCTGCCCACCAAAATGTGGGATGTCAAAGCACTCAGCATATATCAAATGCTTTATTCCTTTCTTCAGAGCTCCAGGCTTGCAACTTGCCATCTCATCATTTCAACAGAGCAATAAAATAAAGGACTACATTGATTTAGGATCTCTGATCTGCAGGGATCTCCAACAATACTTTTGGATTTATTTGTATGTTGCTCTGCTTATTTAAAATCTGCTTATTTTCTTCCTGTTGCTGTATGAAATGCTCACATGAGGGGAGGAAAAAAAAGGGAAAAGTTTGAGTTTGCTTGCTCTTACAGTCAGGTCCATGTGGCCCAAACATAAGGCACTACTTCCAGAGCTGGGCTAACTGGCCATAGAGAAAAGCAACTACAGTAATATGGCAACACCTCAAAATACCTTTCAGCCACAACTACTGAAGTGGGTATTTGGAAAATGTGGTAACACTTGAAACAGAAGTGTTATTGTTAAACTGGAAACTCACTGATGACTGACTGAGCTGCATTTGCTACTATGGGCTCTACTTATGAATGGCTACTGGACAATTAAAAAAACTAATAACAACAGGACTCACTATTCAAAAATGCCCCTGTGGAGCAACTCCTCCTGCAAACTGCAACAGTTTCTGCTGCCACGCTGCATTTTTGTGCCAACAGTGTTCCCTGCAGTCACATTAGATTTTCATTGCCTACTGATGTAATGCCATGTTGCAAACAAGGCAGGGTGGAAGTAGAAAGTGGCATTTTGGTTATTTTGTGGTTGGTTTGAGAAATTAATCTCTTTACTGTGAATGGATCTCATTGCCCAGTGCAGCACCGAGCTCCTGTGTTACTCCCATGTGTTACTCTGTTTGAATGGCACAGTTTGGGGAATATTTCCAAAAGGAATTCACTTTCTCCCCCAAAAGAAGACTCATTTTAGAGCCTGAAAACACTTATCATCGATGAAATGTTGCATAATTCTCCACAGTTTCTGCCATTCATATTACTGGCATGAAAGCTCCCAAAAATCTCCCATACAACATTTACATTTCTGTGCAAAGCCAGTACAACTTTTTAATCTAAAGTGAGGAAATGAAAGACCTGAAATGTATTATATGCACTCTGGGCTCTGAAGAATGAACACCAAAAATTTAAAACAGTCCAAGAAAAACAAGAATTTAACCCATTTTCCTTGTTACAACTCTTACCAGGTGCATCATAGAAGGACACTTCCTTGTAAGTGACAGACATCACTGGGTGCTTGAGCTTCTCCCTGAAGTCACTGATGGTTTGGTAGACAAGGAACACAGCTACAGCCATGAGCAGCAGATAAATAAACAGGAGTATTACAGAGAAAACATTCTTTAGGCAGGTTTTGCTGAAACGTAGAGAAGGGGTAGTGGTACCCAGCTCACCATCTGGAACCAAACAGAACATGGATTGGGACTTCAACATACAGAGATTTTTGCTGAATTTACATTTAAAGATCACTCATGTGAGAAGAAAGTAAGCCTCAAACTCAGCTTGATTTTAAAAACCACAGCTAATTCTAGTTTTGATGATCAGCCAGGCAGATACTACCTTCTCAAGTAGGAGGTGTAATCAACCTCCTGTGTCTCCTTTTCTCATGCCAGAATTTGGCATCCTGTTTAAGGCCACTGCAGGCAGGAAACAAGGTTTGTGTTCAAGGACAACTGAGAAACAAAGTTTAAATAAAGTTCACGAGAAAGTCTGTTGATGGTCAATCTTTGCTTCTGGGAAAAAAACCTCTCTTTCCCCCAATTCCAGCCTGAAGTGATTCTTACACACTCAGAACAGACATCAGTGGAGTGACTGAAATAATGCTCATGCCCAGGATGTATGCATTGCATCTCCACCATGGTAGAAGTCACCAGACACTTGTTACCTCTAGTTCATAATTCCTTATGCAGTTAAAAACTTCCATAGCAGGATTCTTCCCATTACAGCTAGAAAGAGACTGACCCAACTCTCCCAGTCTCCTTTCCTTCAAATCTTGCTCTCTTTAGATCTTCTCAGTAGTCTCACTCACACAGACACTGCTTTACCCATACCCCTTGCATTTGCCATTTCTTTTGGCAATGCTTCTAAAGCAAAGGTTCCTGTATCCCTGAGTTACACATCACATTTTGTCATGAGTGATCCACATCTGAACCCACAAAATTTTGTTAAAACTCAATGTAAGAAAGGAGATAAGCAGCCATGCTTCCTGCTGACTGTTCAGTGGGGTGTCACCTAACGAGCCAGGCCCTGTCAGGCCATGCCACACGCTGCTCTCCCACTCTACAATTTGGTGTTTGTGCCTTCCCACAGCAAACAGGAGCCTCTTAATGAGCCCTATTGCACACAGAACCACTTACAAATGTCCATGGCAAGTTACATGCCAGGAGATGGCAGCCAAGGCAATTAGGACATTAATGTGCATAAAACTGCACTGCTGAAACAAATATGGCTTGAACTGCTGCAAGGCATTTAGGCCATGCTCCTTTGAGGCTGGCTAACCTCAGTGCCCACACCTGAGCTGCAATAAGCCCATTTCACACTGCTCCATGCCCTCCAAAAGCAGCCTGAACAGTCTAAGAATTTATGTTAAAGCATCTATTCAACATTGCACCTTGCTCATGTAAATCTGGTACAGACTGTGCCTCAACCCACTGCCCCTCAGGTGGGACACAACATCAAGGAACATGACACACTAAGCTATCTCAGAGTCAGATGTGCTGAACGTGGTTTGATTGAGACAAAGAAAAAATTCTGACAAAGAAATGTTCTCCTGTCAGTCCTTGGATAACCTTGGCTTTCCATCAGTACTGATTCACATAAAATAAGTAAATTAAATTAGTGAAGTAAAGAAAATAAGTAGTGAAACTAGTGTTTTGTTTACCTTCAGAGGTGCAATAAAAAAGCAAAACCAAAACGACCACAGCCACACACTGCAGCAGGTAACAGGCCCTAAAAATCAGTAATTTTTGGGTCAATAGTTCTCACCTGGTAAAATTACAGAGCTGGAATCTTCATGAACTTCCATATCTCCTTCTCTCTCCTCTGTTGGATTTTCAGATACTCGCTCCACATCTTCACTCAGCTGTGTAGTTAAAACAGTGGTTCAATTTCCAAACATGCTCTCAACTTGCAATTGTTGGAATTTCTATGGTACAAATAAAAGAGGCTCCAACTAACTGAATACACAAAAACACATCCCCAGTCCAAGAGCACCCAACATCTGTTCCACTTGCTCACAAGCCAAAAGCCACAGCTCTGTAGACTTAGAGCCACAAATTAAGTGACTTGCATTCTACAAATTTAACCTACTTCTACTCTGCTGCTTCAACAATAACATCACCTTTCCATTCAAGTTCAAAGTAATTATTTCCCCAGCAGCTCCAACACATTTTAACCCCACAATTAGGAGTGTGTTCTCTGACAAGCAGGAACTTCATTCTGTCACTGAAGGATATATTTTTAGGCATAAAGAAACCACAGCACATAGCAGCAAACAGAACATTAGTACCTCTTAATAAAGAGGTACAAAAAGCAGGAGATGCATTTTGACAGGTGTTAAGGCAGGGCACTGAAATACAGTCACAGCCACACGTGGCAGGGTCATTATGAAACAACAGTCAAGCATCTCTATATTTCTGCTCCTTTTTTGATCTCACTGCGCAGATTATTATATATTAGTGGTTATGCAACTAATTAGTCTTCCAGTGTTTCTGAAACAGCACCAGAGACCAGATATTTTCTTGTTTTGCTATTCAGAGCTCAGGGCTCAAACTGCCAGGCCACTTCCGTCAGAGTCAGAGGCTTGTCACAGCAGACACACATCACACCACATTGTGGAGCACTGCAGACTTTGTACATTGTAAATAGAAAGTATCTCTTGTATGTTTCCCAAGCTTTCTTTCCTGGTGGTAACTGACACAGAGATTACAGCAATGCAAACCAAGGCATGAGCATGCAGCACACCACATTAGCCTTGTTCTTGTTTCAAGGAAAACGGGGCACAGTCAATGCTGCAGCTGCACTGAATGCTATTAAACACTACACCCCTAACTTACACAACAGAAACGTGAAGGTATCCATAAGGGAGTGTTTTCATTTCACCCAGCTTTAATTCAGTACTGAAATCATCATTATGCCATTACCAGGTCCTCATTAGCACCTGTTAGGAAAGAGTCCACTCATTTTACACCTTCAAAGTCTGACGTAAAGTCTCCTTCATTTCCTGCTGTACTTCTGTATTCATTTCCATCGTGCAAAGCAAGATGAAAGCAGTTACCCAGCTGTTTTTAAATGCTTAGTACATAAATAAAGCATGATTTCCCATAGCATGAGGCAAGAAGTGAAGAGGAAACTTGTAGGCTAAAAACTCAGCTCACGTGCAAGACTCTTACCAGGGTCCAACTGAAGATACCTTTTTCCATTATCACCATAAAATAAGGGAAAATTAAAACTGTGCTTCTTTTTGTAGAAACATGCTGGTTCTGTTTATCTGACCCAAAATAAGCTACTCTGACCCAAAAGAAGTACTCACTGAACTCTTGTACTGGTTACATTAAATCAGCTAAGAAACCAGCTCCAGTCATACTTGTGCACATTGCTGATACCAGAGCTGATCCAACAAATGTAATGTAAGTCACAAAGTCACTGCAGCTCCTCAGCTGACTCCCACACCTCTGATTGCCCAGCTACAGGCACCTCAATGACCGAGGTTATTGGGAGAGTAAATGAATTCTATTCCTCATGCCAAGGAGATCTCAACACAAGGTTAAAAAAGAACAAAATAAGCAACATTTCCTATCTTCTCAAGAGGACCTGCAGCAATTTTTTTCAACAAGTGGAAGAAAAATAATCTTCGAGGTAATTCCCAATCTAAATGATTCTGTGGTAAGCTCAGAAAACACAAACTTTCAGCACTCTTTAGAAACAAACCAAAAAACCCCAAACAATATGTTTTCTTATCTCTGTTCACGATGTTTCACAAACTTTCCACAGATAAAGCCAGAGAAGGACAGCCAGGCAAGAGCAGGACTACTAAGAGTGCTTCAGATGCAGTAAGCAGGTTGAGCTGATGTGTAGGACAGCTAAAACCAGCTCTATTTTACTGCAGATGCTGAACTGAGGTCACCAAGATCCCAGTGCTGTGCATGGCTCAGCCACTGTGCTCTGAGCAGCACACAGCACCCTGACTCTGTGAGCCAGGGCAGCACAGACCTACAAACCCAGCACATCTCACACACACACCCTGCTGCAGCCTCCCTGGGACTGGGAAGCCAGCACAGGACACTGCAGGACAGCTGATTGCAGTTCACACCTGCCACTCCCCTTGGATTCAGGGGTTCTGCCAACAGCAAACCGGGAGCAGCCAGCCAGGTTCACCCTCCAGGCCAGCCCTTCCCACGTGGTATTTTTGATAAAGGGGTGAAGCATGGTGTGAGTCAGGAAGAGCACAGATTGCAGGGCGGTTGACCTTGCAGCAGGATGCAGAGACAGCACAGAATGTCAAGGGCAGGGAAGGCATGAAGCACAACTTCACTCAGCATTCCTCTGGGCTCAGCACATACAGCTGAGGGAGAAACAACCACAGGAACCTGCCCATGTCCCAGCAGTTCTTTTTCAGTGCTGTACAAAAAGAAGCTCAGAAAAGGCAATTCCAGACATTTGTGCATTCCTGCCAGGGGCAGAAGCAACAAAGACTGCTGTGGAAGGAATGGACACACAGGTGCTGCACCTACACACACATCCCATCTTGACTCCTGCCACAGTTTGGGATAAACCCAAACATAAGGAGAGCAGGGTCAGTGGTGGCTGATACTTAGGGTGAAAGCACAACACACATTGTCCATGTGCATACTTCAGGCATCAGTGCAGATTCATTAACTCTCACAAGCACCTTCTCTAGGTACAGGCACACAAGTCAACCCCATCTTGATAGTCATCAAAGACTTGATATCTTTTAGTCAAGATAAAACCTTCCTACTGGATAAAACTCCCTTAAATAAAAGAAGAACTTGTTCATACAGGCCTTTTGCTGATCTGCTGATTCATCACCTTCCAGTGCCTTCTAGTCTGGCGAAAAAACCAGAAGCTGAAACTAAACAGACTGTACCACACTAAATTAGAATGTATTAAAACTGAGCCTCAAACTACCCGTCACGTGTAGAGGAAGGAAGATATCTACATTCCTTTTGCCTGCAAGATACAAAAGCGCTTTGCTGTAACTCTACCTCTGCTGAGCTTGGCAGAAATTGCTTGTGTGTCTACTAGGAGAGATAGGAACGGGCAAGGAAGCCTGGCTGCGGAGCCCGTACATTGATATGCAGAGCAGGCACTGCTCGGGCTTCTGGCAGTGTGATAAAGCATGCTTCAGTTTCGGATGCGGGAGCTCTGCTCCCCGAGTCGCTTCTCCCACCCTACACACCATCCATCCCCTTGTCACCAAACCCCGGCTAAGATCCAGCCGTACCCACCTCACACAGGAGAAACAACCCCACTCTTTTAACCCCGTTCAGAGGTGAAGCAGGGAACCGTGCGCACCCGAGCCACCCGGTGCTTCCTGCAGGCTGCAGCTGCCCCAGCGCCGAGCCGAGCTCACGGCCACACGCCGGCTGTGCCCGCCCGCCGAGCCCCCAGCCCTGCCGGCCCCCCGTACCTCCTGGTAGGATGCGGACACCTCTGGCTTTGGCATAGCATCGGCGGCAGCGGCGCCGCGGGGCCGGGCAGCGCCCGCCGGCACCGCACGGGGCGGGGCAGCCACGGGCCGGGCCGGGCCGGGCCGGGCCGAGCCAGACAGAGCCGAGCCGAACCGAGCCGAGCCGAGCTGCCCCGCCCGGGCCGGGCCACGCAGGCGCCGCCAGGACCCCCGAGCCGCCCGGGCCGGCCCTTCCCTTCCCCTGCCAGTGCCCGCCCCTTGCCGGGGCTGCCGGGAGGCGTAGTCCGGGCAGGGCGCTCCGGCTGCTCGGCGCACCCTGAGGGCTCCTGGGCAGCTCTGTGGGAACAGCTCTCCCTCCCTGACGGGGAGATGAGAGTTTTCTGCTTCACAACGCAAACTCTGCTAACGCAAGCATGAGCCAGACTTGGAAAGCCGGCTCCCCCGAAGCTGCACAAGATACTACCTTTTAAATTTTTCTTTTTAATTTTAATTTTTATTTTCTTTTGCTCAAGGCTGTTATCAGAACACCAGGCGTGCTTGACCCGCAGACAGAACTCCTGCAGGACTCCGGGGGTGACCCACTCACACTGTGCCCGCAGCAATGGGGCACTGCAGGAAAATAAAAGCCAAAACCACGTAAGGGCTGATTCACGGGCCACGTGGCCACAAATACCTACACAGCTATTTATTTTTTTCCTTCCCCAGCGTGGAAGTAATTGTTAATGTTGCATCATCAAGAAAAAGCATGTGCAACTTTTTTTGCATTGAGATGCAACACTGTAAGGGAGTCCCTGCTGAGTAGATCATTGCCCTCTGCCTATGGCCCACGCCTAGTAAGTTAATAACCAAGATTTGAAGTCCTTTGACAATAACAATCATATTATACATTTGAATTACAGCACTGTAGTCAGAAAGAGTGGATACAGGAGGATCAAACATGCAGGCTTTAAATCCTTCTGATCTTGACCTGTCAGCGCTGCAGCTGGGCATGTGATATATGCATCTGAACTGTAAAAAGGTTCCAATTTTCTTAATTCTGTATAGAATAATAAACACCCAGCTTATTCTTCTGCCAGTCCTGAATGTTCCCCGGTGCCATATTTATAGCATAGGGAAAACTGTAATCTGAAAATTTCCTGTTTATTCAGTCCATTCCTAGGCTAAAAATGTCTGGGTTTTTTAAGTCACAAAGATGAAGCCTGCACTATGTGCGCTGATTATGTGAATAACCATTGAAAACAGCTAGCAGAGAAACTTCAAGAGGGGAAGAAGGAGGAAAATTGAGAAATCTTTTTATTATTAGGTGTCTGTTATGGTGTCACCAAGTCCATATCTAAACCATGTCCTCAGGTGCCACATCCATGTTAAAAGAAACATGACCATGTTAAAAGAAAACAAACCTCCAGCGATGGTGACTCCACCACTGCCCAGGGCAGCCTGTTTCAGTGCCTGACAACCCCTTCTGTGGAGAAGCCTTCCCTAACATCCAATCTAAACCTCCCTGGCACAACCTGAGGCTATTTCCCTTTGTCCCATCGATGGTTACCCGTGAGAAGCGGCAGACCCGCACCTGGCTGCAGCCTCCCTTCAGGCCGTCCTGGAGCGCCATAAGCTCCCTCCGAGCCCCCTTTTCCCCAGCCTAAGCCCTGCCATGCCCCTCAGCGCTGTGCGAGGGGGCTGTTCTTTTTCAAGAACTGTTGTAAACCCCGGGCTGTTCCTGGGGCCTCTCCACGGCGTTCCCTTAACTGCGGTCCCACCCCGCTCCCCTCCCGGCCCGCAGGCCGGGGGCGGTGCGCGCTCCGCGCCATGGCGGGCGCTGCGGCCCGGGGCCCGCTGCCCTGCCTGATGCCGCTGCCCTGCCTGCTGCTGCTGCTGCTGCTGTTGCTGCTGCCGGTCGCCAGCGCCGAGCCCGAGCTGCGCTTCAGGCCGCCGGCCGAGGCCCCCGTGCGGCTCTTCACCGAGCCCGAACTGGCCAGATACGACGGGCACCAGGTAGGGCCGGGCCGCCGCCGTGCGCCGACGCCGGGCCGGGCCCGCACAGCCCCGGCGCTGCCGCCTGCCTCGGGGCTCCGAGCGCTGCAGCCGCCGCCGAGCTCGGGTTTCTCGTGCTCTGCTGCCGTGCCGCCCCGCCATCCTCCCCGCCCTGTCGTTCTGGGCAGCTCTTGCTGCTCGGGCAGTGGTTTTATGAGAGGTTTGCGGTATCGGTGCGCTCCAGCCCCTGCCCCGGTGCGGCTGGCAGCTGCCGCGGCTGATGCTGCACACACCGTTAGATAATTGGGTGCCATGTGCCCATATTCGCTCCCTGCTTGGCAAGCTGCTCCTGCCAGAGAATTTCAGATTACCATGAGTTGGAGCCAAAGTTCATTTTCTCTCAGTAATTTATTAACCATGTACTTAGACTTAAAAAAAAAAAAAATCCAAAAACAACAGCAACAACAAAACCCCACCAAGATTATCAAAACAACAAGACAGTTTTAACTTAGGAGTGTTTAGCTTCCTGTGGTTCAGAAGGCTCTGCAGAACTCCAGACTAAAAATGATAAAGTCCTGTATGGATACACATCTTCTTCTCTTTTGAAACCCTGCCTGACCTTCTCAGGGTCTTCTCTACTTTGAAGAGCAATGTCTGACTAAAATTACATCTTATGTATAAAACACAAAGCAGAAGCACTGGCTTATTAAGTAAAACAGATGTCAGCAGATCAGATTTACGTGTGTTTATGTATTTATCTTTGTTTCTTAATCAAATAACGCTGTTGGCCACACACCCTTTTATTTTGGGCAACATCCATCTGCATTATGAATAGAAAGATGCAGTTCACAATCTTCAAGCAGACTAGTGTGCAGACAAGAGGTGACTTGCAAAAGGGACTTGTCTTTTATGATTGTTTAGATTAAAAAGATTCTCATTCTTATGGTTGAACCCTCAAAGAATATTAGGGGCAGTTTAAAGCACAAGCATGTGATGTCAAGAGAGGGAACGTGTATGGTGGTATAACAAGAGTAAACATACAACAAAGAATTTATGTCCTAAGAGCTTGTGGATTTCACAGCTGGAATTTAACTGCTTTTTGCCTGTGCTTAAGTGCTGAGGATGTATTGATGGCTTTCCCTCCAGGAAGGACAGCCCATCTACCTGGCAGTGAAGGGAGTAGTGTTTGATGTCACCTCTGGAAAAGGTTGGTGTGCTTCTCCTCTGCTACTTTGCTTTCATGTTATTATTGAGACATTTGGTTTTAAACATTCCCAGTGCATTGGAAGCCTGCAGTTCAATTGCAACAAAAAGAGACACTTTTTCCTCTTCTAAAAAACTTGATTTTCCTTCTCTGACAGCTCCCCTACTAAGGTTTTGTCTAGAACTTGCACTGGCTTGAGATCACAACATGCAGACAGACAAGCCAGCACTGTCTAGGTAGCTTGGGCACTGCTAATGAAAACCGGCAGAACTTCCCAGCTCCCTGAGTCCTTGCCAGATGTGGGGTCAGGGCCCATGGCAGCTACAGCATTTCACTGCCCTGGGTACAGGAGCTGAGCAGATCAAACCTGGTGTGGATGTACCCACTGCACAATATCCACACTGCTGCAGCTGCATCTTTTCCTTCTGTGCTGGTGCTCACACCTATTGCTGTTTGTGCCTTCCCTGAGAACTGCAAATGTTTTCATTTGAGCTCCTGCTACTTAATCCAGATTTGCTATAAAAAGTTTGAAGGGACCATGAGGGTCTTAAACACTTGTCTGGGTGTCATCATAAGTAAACCAATGGCTTGTTACTGTGTTTGTACTAACCTTGCCTGGGCATACACGTTGGGTTGGCTGATCTCAAATCCTAAATTACATAGAGCTTGGAAATTCTGGGGTCCACAAACATCTCATCAGAATGTAAAGCACAATTCCCTAAATAATAGGTAAATTTTAAGAATGCAGTATAGGAAGTTCAACAGCTGTATAAGCCCAAAAAGTAGGAAATCCAAAGTCAGCTCTGGAAAGAAAAGTCTTGGGCTTGAGTTGTTGCTTTCAATTCACTGACATTCAGTTCACAGTCTGGTGAAGGGGAGAGGCTGATCATACCCTGAACATTGTCAGATCATCACTGGATTTTTTTTTTCTTAATCTGACAGAATTTTATGGAAAAGGAGCCCCATACAATGCTTTGGCTGGAAAAGACTCAACAAGAGGAGTTGCAAAGATGTCTCTGGATCCAGCAGATCTTACACATGACACAGTAAGAAAATGGGCCAGCAGTTTCATTCCACTTTGCAAATTTTTATTATTATGCAAAATGATGAATGATGGTTTTAAATTGTTTGTATTTATATAACTTGACTCACATATTTAAAATCAAAATACATTAGTTCTCTTTAGGTACATAAAACATATTTAGTGGTCATGAAAGGTGCTAACAGCCTTCAAGAGGAAAGTTTTTCATTTCTGGAATCAATACAACTTCTGTAAGCATATAAAATGGAAATTGCCTACTGTTTAAAAAGATGCTCACAAAGACAGTAAATCCCTTTCTTTTGGTTTGATGTATCCTGACGTGGCAGTGAATGCTAGCTCTGGTGATGGGTTGTTACTTGTCTGACCTGAGTACCTTAAAGTTTTGTCAAGGCTGAATTTGAATGGAAAGAACACAATTACAGGCTGTGCTATCAATTTTGTTCATCATGCTCTGATGTAAACCCAAAAGCTGACCCTAAAGTTTACAGTAATCATTAAAAAACCCCCCATGTAAATATCTCTATTTTTATTTCTTTGAGGCAGGACTTTGATTTCCCTGTTTCCTTTAGACAGGGCTCACAGAGGAGGAGCTGAAGTCCCTGGATGACATCTTCAATAATGTTTATAAAGCCAAATATCCAATTGTTGGCTATACTTCTCGGCGAATTCTGAATGAGGATGGCAGCCCCAACCTGGACTTTAAACCTGAAGATCAGCCACATTTCAGCATTAAAGATGAGTTTTGAGGAACATTTTGGTACCTAGAGAGTGCCTGGGCAAAGGCACAGCAGAATATTAAATTAATTCCCTGTGCTGTGGAGTTCATTACTACAGTTAGCTACCATGAGTCAGTTGTCTGCTCAGAAAA